CCCTGGGAAATTTCTGTTTGAAGTGGTTGCAGGTAGGATCTTTGATCTTTTGCTGGTTTGCTGATTTGATTATTGAAGAGGATTTTCCAATCTATTGCCTTTGAACTATGAGCTGGTAATGAGTAATAGTTTGAGAAGACACCTATCCTGTCACTGTGACACTGCTTAGTGCAAATCATTTTAGAGTGACAGAATCACCCACCATTATTTTTTTGTAGAAAACTTTATTTTCCGTGCTGTCAAAAATAAAAAAATAAAAAATACTTAGTTCACTATTCTTAAGGTCTAGCTACCAATCAAGTTAGTCTATACTCTGCTATGACAACTCCACGGGTACATTATTCTTTAAATTGCACTGGGAACTTTGTTGAGATGTCTCCCATCATCAGTGTTAAGGTGTGAGAAAGCTAGCTGCCCCTGTCATAAAGGGGCAAACAACTGACTGGTTATTCCTGTACTGAATGTTCCAAACACAATTATTATTTTTTTCATATCAGTCCCTCCAGGGAAGATTTGGCAAGTTTAATTTTGCTAATGCCAGGTAAAATAATAAATGGCATGTGAAATTTTAAGAATTATTTTGACAACTGGAAACCTTATAAATAATGGAGATTAATCAGAAAGAAACTACCTAATTCATTCCTAGTCTACCTTCAGTGTTCTTCAATGAAAATTCCAAACATAAGGTGCTGGAAGATTAGTGGTAACGGTGAATTCATACAACATTAGAACCCATTGAATATCTTAGTATAAACATACTTTATATTTTGCAGAGATTATGTTGGTGAATCAATACTGAAATATCGGGAGATGGGTGAGAAATACCGGGTGTTTGCCAAACTTGACACATCGCCCTGTGTCAAGGTTATCAATCACTAGTTTATAAAAAGTTATTGCAGTATTGTTGGTTGGTGTATAAAGGCACAGTGAGTTTAAAATAGGATTGGTGTTGTATGTATATTCTTGTTTTAGTTATCATTAATGTAGTTGTAAAGCAAACATTTAATAAGAAATCCATTAGAATTGTATTACAGGTAGAAATGTGAAGTGCAAAAGTTGCTTCTTGTACTCATTTCATATATCTTTTTAGTAAAAGGAACACTTTAGGCACCATAACAACTTTATCTGTGTTAAGTTGTTATGGTGATAGGGGTCCCTGGCACATGTTTAACAATAGGGATTGAAGAACGGTTTAACCCCAAAATTTGGGCTCTAGCACCAGATCGATCTGCCTCCCTGTCCTTTCACTTTCTTAGATTCTTTAGAACGGAAGGCTCAGGCAGAATCAGGCAAGGGTATCGGTGATTGGCTTAGAATCAGCTGAAGCAAGTCTAAACCAATCAGTAGCTCCCCATTTATGAAAAAATGTACATACCTATTTTCATCAGTTGGGGACAACTGAGCCAGGAGAGGTGGATACTTCAATGACTTGCACTCATTCAACATGTATACTATCTACATATATTTTTTATGTGCAGGGAAAAAAGTGTAGCTTCCTTGTTTTAAATGTAATCCTTGGACAAAGGAAGTAGTCTTATAGCTACAGTGGCTTGTGAAGTAATTAGAACGATTTAGCATGCCATTAAAATAAATTTTACTTTTTTTCTTTTTTATTAAGTTGTTTGGTGTAAGTGATAATTATCAAGCATATTTTTATACATTATTTATCACAGTAGCATAATTATATTCACTTTCTATTTTTGACAGTTAAAGCAAAATTAAGGAAAATTAGCTGGAATAATTAGTATTGCATTTTTTCACCCATTTTTAATTTTTACAAGAATTTATTCTGGGATGCATGACCACGAGCCTATGAAAGGGGAAAAAGGGGACAAAATCAAGAATGTATCGCCAGAACAATTTGGGGCAAGGACCATAAATGTTGTTTTTCACTGTCAAATGTGATCATGGAGGCAATATATATGACTGTAAAACAGGACTGAAGTTTCTGTACATTGCAAGATAAAACCTGGAAATTCTTTTTGAAATAATGTGTAAAGCAGATTTGTTTCCGTGTGAGGAACAGGCTGAGGCTATTTGTGAATCTATTAAATGCCCCTTATCCTGCTTACTTAGCATTTCATATTAATTTGTCACTGCAAAGCATTCTGGGAATGGAATGTGTGACTTCACATTTAAATGTGTGATTTTCTCATGGTTTTGTTTGGGCGAAATATAAGGTTAGGTCATTTTATGTTCCAGGCCCAAGAACAACAGGAGATTTAACAGTCTGTTTTCTTGTTTAATAAATTTGTGGGCGGCTATAACAGTTTTTTTTTCTTGTTTATAATGCATGCAAATAATTTGGAGAATGTAAGTGGGTGAGCATTGCTCTCTGCAAATCTGTAGACTTGAAATATGGATGAAATGTGTGATGAATTAAAATGAGCCTCTGAAACAAAACTTTAAAGATATTCTTACATGGAAAAGGATATGTGATACAGATAAGTACAACCTGTGATTTTCTCATAAAGAAATTCTGCATTAACCATTTGAGAGTCGTAGGAGTTTTCGCTTAATCCCTTTACATGTATGGGCAAGCATGACAGAGGCATGTCTTGCATGTCAAATATAAAATTTAAGAAAGTGCAATAGTGGAGCTCAATAATGCAGCTAATGTGAAAAAAAGGAATAAAATTAAATCTACCCTCAATAATCCAAAGATGTAAATGATAAAAAATAGAAAGAAGTGTACTCTACTGTGGCCCTTGGAGATATAAAATGTTTTTTAAAAAAAAAATGTATTCCACCAGAATAAGTTTCACCCGTTCTCTGGTTTCTGTTTAGAACTTCAAATTCTAAAATTTCTCTCGGCCCACAAGCAATTTTCTTTTTTTTTTTTAAATTTATTATATTTTTATTAGAGAGTTTGGTCATCATGAATCAACAAGATATGTAACAATATTACATTCTGTATAAGGCTTTTAGGACGAAATCGTGTTTCCATTATGCTGACATATTAGGACACAAAATGTATTATACAGAAACATCACATGACAACACATATTCAATCTATTTTGAAAGTAACAAATTTTTATTTTTTAACATATTCATCTCTTTATTTGCTGAATTTCTATTTGATGGCATTTTTGACTATATTAAAAACAAATATTTAAACTTTAAACACCTATTAAAAGTAGATTGGAAATTGATGTACTGGAATAACAGTCACGTTGCGCGATGACTCCATTAATGGTTTGGTATATATTTTTAGGTATTTTATGCAATTTTTTAAACAAAAATTTAATTTGTGCATGCTTTTTTTATTTAGCTGTTTTTTTTTAACATTTATTTTAGTATTTGCATTATTGTATGGGATACAGTGGCGGAACTACCTGGACGCAGGGGTTACAGCCGCGACCAGGCTTGTCACTCCAGTAGGCCCGGCTGCCCTGTGGGCCTCTATGACTGCGGTGCCCGCAGGCTAAGTAACGCGGCCCTGGCCTGCACAGTATAACCGCTGGGGCCACTTTCAAGGGGCCCATCAGGTGGCCCATGCTGTTAGGGCCAACCGATGGTAATTAATTTTTCAGGGGTCCCGGGCAGCACTGCAGCGCTTTAAAAGCGCAACCGGGCCCCCTGTTATGACATCAGAACTGGGAGGAAGTGACTGCCCCGGTCACTCTTCCAAGTGATCACCGTGCGGGAGGAGGAAGGAGAGAAGTGAGTCAGAGGGGAGAATCCCATCAGGCTGAGCCACTGGACCCCAGGGAAAGTCACCCTCCTGCACTTAAAAGGTAGGAAACAGGAGGGTGACTAAAGCATTTTGTATATGTGTCTGTATATGTGTGTGTTTGTGTGTGTCTGTGTGTGTCTGTATGAGTCAGTATGACTGTGTGTCTGTATGAATATTTCTCTGTAAGTGTGCGTGTGTGTGTGTTTGTGTGTGTATATGTATGTGTGTGTGTGTGTTTGTATGCATGTGTGTGTATGTGTGTCTGTATGTATGTGTGTATGTCTGTATGTGTGTCTGTAAGTATGTCCGTATGGCTGTGTGTATGTGTGTGTCTGTCCATGTGTGTGTGTGTGTGTATGTGTGTTTGTATGTATGTGTATGTGTGTTTGTATGCATGTGTGTGTATGTGTGTCTGTATGTATGTGTGTATGTCTGTATGTGTGTCTGTAAGTATGTCCGTATGGCTGTGTGTATGTGTGTGTCTGTCTGTATGTGTGTCTGTATGTATGTGTATGTGTATGTCTATCTGTCTGTGTATGTGTGTTTGTATGTATGCATGTATGTGTGTATGTCTGTCTGTGTGCCTGTATAAGTGTGTATGTGTGTGTTTTTGTATGTATGTATGTATGTGTGTGTGTGTTTGTATGTATGTGCGTGTCTGTGTGTATGTGTGTGTCTGCATGTGTATCAATTTGTCTGCATGTGTAGGGAGCAAACGTATGGGAGGGGGAGGGTAGACGTATGGGGGGCCTAAGTGCAATTTTCGCACCATAGTGAAAACATCACTATACATCATTACAAACGGTTTCGAATTTGCACATGGCCCTGTGGCCACGACACTTTCATTATGAGTACTTGTATTTGCTATATAAACTGTTATTCCATTTGTGCTACTTTGAAGAAGGCAATTATAGAGCTGAAACATTGTGTATCACTATCTAATAAATCTGCCTTAACTATCCTGTATCCAAATTTTTCGCTGTGCATATTGAATGTAAGAGAACAGTTGTGGCAATTTTGAGCCAATTAATCCATCTTCATATATTATATAATGTGTAGATATTTAATATATCCTATTTTACAGAAGATATGCATTCCATTGTATTACAATCAATGCATTTATAACACGAGACTCTACGCTACTGAGAAAGAAACCAGAATTTTGAGCATTACATCTCTAGACCCTTGTCAACATTGAAATTTGTTTTTATTTATTTTCATAATTTGTTCCTAGACATTTTGTGTCCATCCTGTGTGGATGAACTTTGACTGGATAAAATATTCCAACCTTTGACTCACACATTAGTACTCTGTGAAAACTCATGGGAAACTCATGGGAAAATTACTGTTGATTTGTGAATTTAACAAACAATATATTTTCATTATTATAGCACATGCTTGAATTTCAGGGGTCAAATTGTTTTGGTTGGATCTCTAGTTTCACATTATAACCGCACAATTTTGGCCTTGTACTACGCAATAATAAAACAACACAACTTTATTGCTGGACCATTTTTCTTTATTTTGAATTAGTTCTATGCATAGTTGGTGTCTGCTATCAGTAGCACAACATGCTGGTGACAGACAGACAATGCTAGCATGTTCTTTCACCCGTACCACCCAAGCCATCCCCTCAGCCCATACTGCCTGACATCGTTCTCACTGAGCATGGGGGAGTGACATCACTGGAGAAGGATCAGGCTGCCGGCACAACTCGGCTTCTTTTTTTTTTTTCTATTTATTTATTTTTTGGGGTGAGGTGGGGTGGAGTGGGGGGATACCAGGATTAAAACACTGTTTTTGGTTGGCAATATTGAAGTATAAATTTAATTGGTATACTATTTATGGTTGGAATAGCACTTTTGTTGGAGGGGAGAGTCCATGCTGATATCTTTGTAAGAGGGCCGAAGGTTTCTGACGGCAGCCCAGCTCATGGGATTACTAGTCCTTTCCTGGATGACTAAATGGCCCGCAATCAATGGTTTGCTAGTGGCATAGTGTCAGGAAATGAAGAGAGAAAGATCCATCAACTTTCATTTCCAACTTAAAGTCCCAGAAAGGTGCTGCTGGTCTTCAAGTACACTATATTGCTGTGTGGTTTTCTTTCACGGTTCTCAATCCTTAGCAGAGCACATGGATCTCTGAACATAGTCTGTATCCATAATGATGCAAGTTCCTTCATTTCTTTATAACTTTTAGTTGGTGTGTAATGCTCTTAAATTGGCTGGTGGGAGTATGCACAACATATATACAAATGTTCTGAGTGCTCAGAACAAATTGGCCCAAGTACTGAAAAGTTAACATTTTGACAGTATATATATATATATATTTTTTTTTATTTTTATTTTTTTATTATTATTTATTTATTTATTTATTTATTTACACACTATTTAGAGTTTTGGAAATAAGGCTTATCATGAGCTGCTCCATTGTTCCTTTAAATAGGGCTCAGTACTTTTTAGTTTAGTGGAATAAATAACAAAAACACTTTGTCATGAATAATTCATTCAGACCTGAAATCCCGTTCCATCTCTTGGCTTACCTTTCTGCACGTGTATCCTATAAAAATGCAAAAGTGAATCAATTCCATCAACATTTGATGTTGTTTGTGTCTTCCAGTTCACACACACAGCTTATCGTCATCACTTTGAAATGTGTTTTTGTTCATTCAAGGTTGAATAATGAGAAAACAAATCAATTAAGCAAAGCACTTTCATGTAGAATGAGATCCGACCAGGTATTCAAATGACCAGATCTTAAATCTTGACCATCCTTTTATACATTATAGCTGGTTAATTCGTATTTGACATAAACATGTAACTGCATTTAAATGCAAATGTGTTTCTATTTGTACTTTTTATGTATAAATTGTAGATCCTTCTGTGTTATGCCTTCCAGGGCAGACATAAAAGCAAAGTAAATCTCAATGAAATCTGCCTGGAAAACAAGTCTCGAAAAAAAATGTAATACAATTATTGCCAGCTTCACTAAAACAAAGAGGGCTTCCTTATTAATCTTTGAACTGTTATACGTTGAAAACCTAAAAGCCAAGACTTGTCATGGCATTAAAGAACATCTCCTGAGGCCTGCTGTGAGCCGTGTGATTTCATATCTCATACTGCGATATTGCTAGATAAGATCAGTGCTGAGCAGTGAGTAGTTATATAGTTGCAAAGTTACATCGTTAGATAGCTGAAACGAGACATGCGTCCATCAAGTTTAGCCTTTCTCGTATCTTTCTCGTATTTGGCTGTTGATCCAAAAGAAGGCAAATAAAAAAAATAAACAGTTTGAAGCACTTTCAATTTTGCAATAAACTAGCCCAGCACGCGCAATATTCAGCTTCCGGCAGCTCCTCTCTCCAACTCTCACCACCCAGGCCAACAGAACAGTGCCACAGGTTATCATGGGAACACTCTATGCATCACGTGGGCCAGGCTCAAGAGAGGGAGAGAGAGGAGCTGCCGGAAGCTGAAGATTGCATATTCAGCATGCAGCCTGCACAATGCCACTGGACCACCAAGGAGTGTAATATCCACCCTGCATGGCCATAATTAATTATTTTTTATTTTAAAATTAAAAAATGCTTTTTGTCAACAGAATGCACCCCATAGTCTATCCTACCCTACCTTTTTTACACACACACACACTGAATCCACTACACAAACATACACACACTGAATCAAGTACACTGCATCGACTATACACACACGCACTTCACTCACTTTACACACACACATTGCATCTACTACACAAACACATACTTCATCCACTACAAACACTGCATCCACTATACACACAAGCAATGCATCCACTACACACACGCACACACTGCATCCACTATATGCACACTGCATCCACTGCATCACACACTCTACATCCACTATACACACACTCTGCTTAAACTATATACACACTGCATCCACTTAAAACAAACACACTGCATTCACTGAACACACTCCCTGCATCCACTATACACATACACTCTGGATGTACTACACACAGACACTCTACATCAACTATAAAGACACTGCATCCACTACACAGCACAGACGGCCGCCTTAGGGTGCACCAGTCCAAGTGACCGGCGGTAGGTAGGAGCACAGAGAACCCCTTTCCCGCGCGTCACTCTCTGTAGCCATCCTGACTGGCTAAATTACCGGCCGAGTGAGGACAGCCTGAGAGGGGTTGAGTGCAGCGAGGAGCAACTGCGGCCGTGTTATTAGCTAAAGACCACCGGGATACATGATATCATATCCCAGTGACCAAGCACTCTGGAGAAAGCGTCAACAGCTGGTGGGGCCCTTGTATAACAATGATAAAAAGTAGATTTTCATCATAAGTATAAAACATGCAGGAGTGTTGCAAAGTGCTTACATTTGCACCTAAAGACTGGAGTAAATAACATATAAAGATTATTTCAGTACATACACAAACACTTCAGTAGTAGTTCTGTATATGGGCATCCCTGCTTATTTGCTCGCTTACTGAGATGATATTCCCCTCTTACAGCCAAGCACAATACTAGTTATAGATCAGGGCAAAGTAAATCCCCCACACCAGCCCAACCCCAGTCACGTATTTGTCAAAGTTGGCAAATAAGTGACACTTGATTACAGACCAACTTTGATTTATTCTACAAATCATTTTTAAATGGCAGACGTAGTTCCGTTATATAAAAATGTTTTATGTACCCTTACCCCTCAAATATCATGCAAGTACTAAATGTTGTTCCTAACTTTTTATTGTTGGGTTTTGTTGATTGTTTGCTTTCTGCATCAATATAATTTTTATTTTCACACTTCTAAACTTAAAGGGAAACTCCAGTGCCAGGAAAACAATCCGTTTTCCTGGCACTGCAGGTTCCCTCTCCCTCCCACCCCCCCAATCCCCGGTTGCTGACTGGCGTTAACCTGAAGCACTCAAGTAGGACTTAATTGCTATTGCTAAGATGACAAATGTCAGTTTTGTAATAATGGGCAGCTAACAGTGTATCATTATTTATCCTGCAGAACACACTGCCTCAAGGTTATCGTGGGTACCACTAATATTAATTAATTGCATTGTTGGTCAGATGTAATCGGTATAGCTCTCTACATGCATAATGTCATCTTTATAGCAGGTAACACAGGAACTGTAATATTATACTGTCCATTCTCTGCTGAACAATTTCAACAAGGGTCAGAAAAACCAAGGCATTGACTTGTCATAAGTCACATAAGCGTTAAAAATCATGAGTAGCGGACATTACCAGTCTATTTATAAAATAAAATTTGAGTCTGAAAAAATGTACTATAACTTTCTTGTGTTTTATCTTTCCTACAGATTAAGATTATTTACCCAATCCTAATTTTTCTTTTGTATTTTAACACTCTAAGCACCATAACCACTACAGCACAATATTGCTATGGTGCCAGGAGTGTCCCAGTCCTCTCCCTACCCCCATTGTAAGTAACTGTGTGCCACTCCCCACCTTCACTACTTCTGACAGAAAGCCAGAAACTCATACTTTGGATTATCTGTCATCTCTCTTTAGCTAAACATTTTAGTCAACTTCAGAATCTCATTTTGGTGTGTTAGGACCGGTGCTAGCGGAACCCACATAGGAAGTCAAAGCATTCTAAAATGTTTTGACTATTTTTAATATGGGCACTACATCCACAACAGTGCTCTGTAATGGTTATAGTGGTTATGGTGCTTGAAGTGGTCCTTTAAATAAAACTTTACGGGACCTATTACTTTTTAAGGAAATGCCTAGAGCAGGGGTAGGCAACCTTTTAGCAGCACTGGGCCAAAATGGGATTGTGATGTCCCGTAGCGTGCCGGTCCTATTTTTTTAAATTGAGGTGTGTATGCTTCCGTATTCTGCTTGTGTTATTTTTACTGCAGTTGCTTTGTATCATTGTATTTGTGCGTATATAAGCTATTATATTGTATATGTTCATTATTAGTTTATGGTATCGCGTATGATACATATGAATGTGGGCGGTGTATGGGGGCTGCTTGTGGAATTGTGTGTGTGGATGGATATGTCACATTGTGTGTTTGGTAGTGTGTGGGGGCTGTTTGGAGTATTGCATGTGAGCGGCTGCATGTGGGGTTGTGTGCATGTATGTGAATTGTTAGCGGGTTACTTTTGTGCGTATTGTGGGTATGTTTATGTGTGGGCTGTTTGTATTATTTGTATGAGGGGAGGGTTATTCTGCATTTCTGTGTAAATCTAGCAGTGTAGGTGGCTTCCCTGGGTTCCAGTGGGGACCAGGCTAGCCAGGTACATGTCAAGGACAGGGGCTACAACAGCAGCTGCAGGCTGCTCTACTACAGTATGGATTCCTAATTAAGGATATCGATATTAGTTTTTAACCATTACCTAACCAGGAAAACGATATTACTTTTTAACCATTACTAGTAATGGTTACATTTTAATTTATTTTGGGCACTCATCTCTTGTTTCTATACTACTACTTCTCTAGCCCTTGCGTTAACCAATATTTTGAGTGTTCCCCTAGCTTCCACCTTCCTGCTTTGTTCTTACAGTGTAGATTCCGATTCACAAGTGCTGGGAGGAAGTGATCTGAGA